TATTATGTAGATACCAAGGTGAATTGTTTACTTTGGATGGTTGGCCTTTGGCATACATTATAATTATGGTTAATTGCCAAAACATAATTTTATAATACTGTAGCATTTTAATGTATTGTGCTGCTTTTATTTTTTGCAGCTGTTATCTGGTCCAGAATTCTATTTTTGCTGCATATAGGTCTTGATAATAATGGGTTTTTGAGAAACTATTTAAATCTATTAAGTAATCAACTTGTATGTACAAAAAGTTTTTTATAGCTGCAGTAAAAAGATTAAATATGACTTTGAAATGGGCTGGCCTACTTTACCATAAATAGCTGGCTAGTTTATCTCAGCATTTATAATAAAGTAACTCTTTCAAGAGCCAGAAAAATATTCAATTGGAATCTTTTTTATTGTACTTAATTCTCTTTTCTTTTTTCCCTAATTATTGAAGGAAAACCTACAAACCCTTGGAACAGAAATAGAACGTCTTATTAAACACCAGCATGAATCAGAGCAAAGAGTAAAAAAGCCCTAATACAAAGAGGCAAAAGCCACATGGGAGCAGCTACTAACCAGGATTCTTGGGAACTTCCCTGCTTTGTGTGTCATCTAGTCAAAAATTTGTTTTGCTTCATCTGTATAAAGAAGTATCCTTTTATGCCTGGATGCATTGCTGTATGCAGTGTAAGAACATTTTGGTTTTGATGAAATTTTGTTTTTATATGGTTGCGACACAACAGCCTGTCATTAAATCTGAACAGCTTAGTTTGCTCATAATCATGTGACGTGCTGAACATTGCTACAAGGGCTTTAAAAATCTCTTCTCCACATTCTGTTTAAAATATATAATATCAGTAATGATTCATCTTAAAAATATGCATGGAAAGACCTATTAGTCATGCAGTAACTCACTATTTCTGTAACACCAAGAAAACCATAGAGATGATAAGAATTCTTACACTTTGACTTCACTGTGGGGCACACGCCTGTAGTCGCAGTTCCTCAGGAGACTGAGATGTGGTGGTCATTGGAGCCCAGAAGTTCGGGGCCAGCGTGGCCAACGTAGCAAAGCCTTATCTCAAAACAAACAAAAACTGAAAACTGTACCTTTTTTATGTTTTGACACTCCAGTATAACATCTGGCTGTTTTTGAGGGATGCACTTAGTTCTTAAATCTTTCAGTTTTAATTTTAAGGAAAACTGAGCTTAATAGGAAAGATAGCTGTTGGTAATTAATGATTATGTGCTATATGTCTCTTGTGGATTTTTCCTTCTGTCTTAAGTACATTTTTTTCAGATTTGGATTGTTTGTGTTAATCATTGACTTTTAAGTCTTTAGATTCTTAAAATGTTATTTTTAGTAACATACTTGTTTAGAAAATTCCTGTGGACTTCAGTTCTGTTTTTTACATGTGAAGTAGATTCAGTCATTAGAACACAGAGATAAATACTTCTTTGAAATGGAAATACTTTAGCTTTACTGACATTTGTGAAAATAAAAATAATAGTGCTTGCGATATTTATGAAGAACCTTTTTTTTTTCCCAAGAGAAACTACCATATGGTGCTTTTAATCATTTCATTTGAGCATCATTCTTCACTATTGATGGTTAATAACGTATTATAGTATGGTGACCATACAGCTCCCCTAAATATGGTGTTTTATTATATTTATTTGTAGCATAGTTACATGTCTAGAACGAAGGGAATTTTAGAGCCTAGGTTTGGCATGTTCTTGGATTTTTATAATACTTATTTAAGATGTACACTTAAATCTTGCCATAATACCAGCGTTTGGTTGACGTTTTCTCACCTTTTATATTTCTCACCTACCACAGTTTCTTTCACATTGTATTCTATTTAGATCACTTGTATACTAAAATACGTTGGCTCACATGCAGATACTGCAGCGAGCTTCATTTCTGTTTTAGATCCCCCACCCTGCAATTAAAAGACATAAACTTTGGGGAAAGCCTTTAAAGAATCATATGGCCTCTTCAGTTGAGCTCATGGAGACAGTGTCTTTGAAATGTGTTTTAACTTTTTTTTTTTTAAATCAACCTAACACTATTTAAAAAGATAGTTTACCATACTTAGGTGATTCTATGTAGTGTCTTTTTCTGTGTATAGAATTTTATGTTGTCATCCCAAAACAAGTTACTTCAGAATAAAAATACACTTTCAATATGTTTTATTTTTAAAGTAGATGTAAAAAGTATTAGTCTTTTTAAATGTGTCTTGCTTTTTTATTAATAATTTATCAAAATAAAACGAGAGGGCAAGTGCAATAAAATCTGAGTTATTTTCCCATTTACTTTAGGCATAATGTTGAAACTCCAGGACTCTACTAGTATAGAAAACATATTAAACCTTTGAAGGGTATCATGTGATACAAGTTTGTAAATTATAATTTTTTTCTCTTAAGACACAAAGTATATAATGGAGACCAAACAATGATCAGATTGTCATGTCCTGTACGTGTATGTTTCTAAAAGTGTGTATGTTTATTACAGACGAAGGAAAATTCCAGTATTAATATTTTTGCTGAGATCAACTTGGAGAAGCTTAATGATAAAAGTTGTTGAGGAAAGTGGTCTTTTTTTTTAATGTATATAGCTCAGACTTGTTATCCTGGAATTCTGAAAGTTATTAAAAGCCATATTTTTACTGTATTACATTTTTTCCTCATAAATTTAAGAAACTGTAGAAAAGTTTTGAAGGGAATGCTTTCATTTTGCTCTTCACTGCCTACTGCATCCTTTTGTATGTGGATCAGGACTGAGCAAAATCATGTACAAAAGTGTGCATCTGTCAGAGATGCCTGTTTGTGAACTGATTCACAAATAGCTTCCAATGTGAGGATTTAGAGGGCCTTCAACATTACTGTATACGTGGAGAGAAAGGTGGGGTGACAGCGATAAACCTGAGGCCCGTGGAGAAATTTGTTCAGTATGTTCATTATTGGTTGTCTACATTAAAGGCACTTTTGTCTAGTTTTCATCTTTGAGCAGGAAATGTTCTGTATTTGTGTACACACTTCACAGGTTTTCATTTGAAAGTGAGCATTTGGTGACTCCCTTTTTCCCGTACCACTTCAAACTTTAGTCTGCTAAAACAGTTTCAAGGATTGAAATGGTGGGGTTAAACAGAACAATGAGTTTGAACTTTAATGTTTTTTGTTTTGTTTTATATCTTTGTAACCACTTAAAGTGATTCAGTCAGTTTGATCATGTTATTTATATGCTTAATAAACACCTTGCAAACCTACCACTGTCAGGCACCAGACGGGGTACTGTGAACACACCGAGGAGCAGTGTGCTTCTCGTCCTCCTGGGGCTGACAGTCCAGTGACCGTAGCTGGAGGCCCTGGCAGTAGGACTTTGGACCTGGATAGCTCCTGCCACCCCTCGCTGGGTGGATGGAGATGAGGGGTCATCTAGCTGGCGAGTAAGGGCCTGGAAGGCTCATCCTGGTGCAGCTTCGGAAGCTGAAGCATACTGGGAGAAAATTGCTGCTTTCGTGGTGGCTCTGCACGTTTCCTAACTTGTCATAGTTTGCTTATTCTTAAAGGAAAAAAATCCAAAGATCATAAAATGACTTTAGATTTTTACCATTTTAGTAAATTATTAATTTTCAAAAAGATAAATTTGTGCTCTCATTCATGTTTCCAAACTTTGTTTTGCATTATATTAATTTTTAAAAGATTTTTATGAATGGATTTAGACCAAGATTTGCCATTATAAGGAAAAATTAATTATTAATGTTGTAAATGTAATATATGCTACCCTGGTGGAAATATTTTTATAAATCATGTTGTTATTCATGCCTTATGAGTATTGACTCCAGTAGCCTATTTTTCAGTATCTTTTCTTTTTTAACAAAAGAATTCTTTTTTGACACAGATTATTAATTTTTAACTAATACCAGTTGGTGGCGCTAGACACCTGAAAATTTTCAAGGCTGAACAAGAGGAATAATTGAAAAAGTATACAAACATCAGTTTTTAGGGAAAAAATAAAATTGCATATTACAATGTATTCTTCTGGAATGATATACTTTTTTTAAATGCGTATGGCTTCCATCTTGACTGATGACAAAACTGGCTTATCTTCCAGAGTACATATGTGTGTGCGTTGTATAAATAATCTTTTAATTTGATTACACTGTTCATTTTGTAAATATTCTGTATAAAATGAAGCTTTTAAAGAGGATTCTCTGTATATAGTATACTTAATAAATAGGTAATGCCTGTTTACCAGCTTGCGTCTTTGATGCTTTGCTTCCATGTACTGCTTGCTAAATGTCCACTTCTCATTTGAGAAACTGTTCATGTTGTGTAAAACCTCTAGGTGGAGAAGAACGTGCATTTAAGAAATGTTCTGTTTCTGAGGAATGTCCAAGGTTGATTTATTCTTTTTTAAGAATATGCTTAATTTATTTAAGTATTTGAGTACTCTTTTTTTAACCAGATTGGAAATTTTTCTATTCCATGTTGATCTTCATCCTACCAATATTGAAGTCATGACTAGAAATTAACAAACAGTAGTAGTAAGTAGATTAAGTTGAATGCCAGGTTACATTTAAACCCTTTTGTTTAAATTATTGATAGCACTTATGAAATACGCTGGGCCTGTAGACATGTAAAAATTCTTACTAAACTTGATAACCCAATGATGCATTCAGATTTTCCACAAAACTGTGGAACTTACTTGCCCAAGTTGTCTAGCTTTAATAATAAAAACTAAGTATGTGCTAAAAGGGCATTAATATATGTGAAATACGTTTCATACAAAGTGTTACCTTCCATTTTCCCTACACTCCTGGCACAATTAAATTATACCATGTTCCTTAATGAGCTCATTCTCAGAAAGACTCCCCTAAAACCAGGATTTGTATGATACAGCTAAAATTTGAAGAGTAAACAGCTTTCCTGACGACCTTAATATACTTTTAAAGGTCTGTGTATTTGTTTGCAAGAGAAAGGAATACATACAGGTCCTGGCTTATGATTCTTCATTTAGGTCTGTGTAGCCAGAGAATGTAACTTAAACTGGAAGCTTTTAGCACCAACTTTGCATCCTTGTAAAGGGGTTGAATTCAGATTAGTAGCATAGCAGGAAGTTAAATTGTAACGCCGCTGCCACAAATGTAAATATCCAAGTCTTGTTTCTCCTAATAGAGCCAGAATGTAGATGAGCTTCTGCTCCCTCTGCAGCTGGCTGGTGCTCCTTTTGAGTTTTGATTCTGAGAACACAGTGCCTAGAAGTGACGTTTCTGCTCTATAGATGCAAGTTTCATTTAAGAAGCTTCATATTGGTAGGGCCGGCAAGATAGCTCAGCAGACTAAGTGCTTGCTTAAGTGAAGTGGAGGGACCAGGGTTCAGTCCCTGGCACTGCATGCTGCGCAGGCCCTGCCCCTGGGCTTGCTGAGCGGTCAGTGGAATCTGGACATGGTGGCGCACACCTGTAATCGCAGCTCTAGGGAGGCAGAAAACAGGAGGATCACTACAAGTTTGAGCTGTAGTGAGACCCTGCACAAAAAAACAAAAACAACAAAAAAACTATTTATATTGTTTAAAAGCTCTAAGTGGAGAGGACCATACACTTAAGAAACAGCCTATTTCTGGGGGAATTGCCAGGCCTTTGATGATCCAAAGGCCACGCTGCCACACTAGCTGCCCTGGTGGTACTACAGAAGGGATGGGATGCTATGTTCAAGGGAGTTCTACTGAAAGTTTAGGATCCACCAAAGCTAGGGATAGAGCACAGTGCCTGCCCAGTAAGTGCAAGGGCCTGGGTTTGATTCCTGATACACAAAAAAAAAGGCTCCACCAAAATAAATTCAGCTTGATGATATTCAACTTTTAGATACGGTAATTAGCATTCTATTTTTTTATTTCATTATGTATTTGGTACAGGGTCTTGCTACACAGCTCAGACTTGTAGTGATCCTCCTCAGCCTTCTCAGCACTGGGATTGCGGGTATGCACCACCATGCCTGGCCTCAGTGGCTTGGTGGCCAGCTCAGCGTGCCTGGGGTGGGGCTAGTACAGCATGTGGTACTAGGGATCGAACCCCTGTGCTTGCCTAGGCAGGCGTTTAGACCATTGAGCCATCTGAGGCCCATAACTAAGGTCTAAGTGCTAGACTGACTTTACACATGGTGCACTTCAATGTAGTTGTCCCTAGTAACTAATAAAAGGGCTCAAGGGCTGGAAGTAGGTTCTATCTCGCTTCCTCCCACTTTGGTCCAAGCAATAAATACCCATTAAGCCTACCATTAGGTCCCGCGTTATAAACGTCCCCAATTTCTGCAGCCCTTGCCTGTGTTCTGGGCCTGGAGCTGTGTTGCTGCCCAGCTCTGTGGGAGAAACTTGATCACTGCCTCTGCAGTTCCACCGCAGCCTCTGGAGGTCCTTTCTCTTCCCTAGAAACCAGGACCCCAGCTACCGTGCCAAAGGAAGGTGAGGCCTTACATTCTCAACTAGCTGCTTCCTGGTGAGGTTTTGTGCTCATTCAGATGAGAGTGAAGGGACTGTAAGAAAAGTGTAGAAGGAGCTGATGCTGCTAACTGGAATTCAGAACTCTGATAAAAATCATGTTTCTTAAGAATGAGTTCTTTCTTAAGAATTAGTTGCATTTTGTGAGTAGAAAAGGTTTTGTGTGCCCCCCTCAAAATATTTATTGGCTTTTTTCTTAGATACAGTTAAATGCTTTCCAAGCTCAATGGGAGCAGCATTCAAACAAAAGGGTAGAAGCACAAGTTTTGGGTCCCTTTCTAGAAATGATCCAATTCACAAAAGTATTCTGAAATTTAAGTACAGGAATTCGTGTAACTGCGAAACACAAGTGTTACTGGTGGTTCTTAAAAAGAGTATGCGTCCCACAGTAATCACACACTTCCCGTTTGAGCGAAGCCTTGATGCAGTGCAGGAGATGTCTCCCTGTTGCCCACCTTGCCCTGTGCCGCTGCAGACAGAGTACCCAGAGCCAGAGCCAGAGCGCTGTTCACTTTCTAGAGCAGGGTTGGGTTTGAGTGTCTGGGTTCCCGTTCACTAGCTCCTTCACTACTCTGTTTGGGTGGGCTTTTCTTTACCAAGTTAGTTAAGTGAGGAACAGCTGGAAAGGAGTAAAGGCCAGCCACGTTCTTTGTCCAGTTTGTCAAGTTGATTTGTCACTCATACAGAATGATTACATTTATCTTGGGAGTTGGTGCCTATCATAACATCTTAATTCTTCTTTGCAATCCCCTCTCCCTACCCACTCTTTCCAACTCCCATTTGCAAAACCTCCATTTTCATCATTTTTCCCTTTCTTCTTTCGTTTCCCTGTAGTCTCTTGTAGAAGAGATGAATGGTTGAAGCTTCGGTGTCTACCTGATGCTGTTCCCAAGTTGCATCCATTTACCTTTGGATACCGCACATTTATGTTGCCTTATGGCAGCATAGTACTTCATTACTCATAAATACCACATTTTCTTTATTCATCTATCACATTCCAGTTTAGATGATCAAACTCCCCACATGCTATAGAGCAGACGTCATGCTATAAAACTAGTGGCCTTTAGGCTGCTATACAACATTTTATAGAGAATATCCCATGGTGAGTCGGTATGTCACTTGGTATCTTTTTATGATTGCAAGCCAAACCAAAGATCCAACAGGTTAACACTTACACAACACATATATGCATTCTTTTCAAAGGAAGGGAGTGTGGGATGCTGTGCCTCAGAGTCCTAACAGTGGTTACTGAGCATGCATGGGGTGGAATAGTGTAGGAAGGATAGAGGTTTGGTGGAGGGCTGAAGTGCTGCTCCAATTTTGTTTAAAAAAAAAATGTATATTATATAATTTAAAGTTGACTTTGTTTTTTTGTTTGTTTGTTTTGTTTTGTTTTCAGAACTGGGGATTGAACTCGGGCCCTTACGTTTGCCAGGCAAGCACTTATTCTACTGAGCCATCTCCCCAGCCCGACTTTTGTGAAAGTTAGGAAAACTAAGAAGGCCCATCTGTTTTAAGAAACTTGAGTGTACCAAGATTTGGTGGTGTTTTTTTTTTTTTTTTTCAGGTTAACCTCAGTTTTCAGATGCTCAATAATAGGTAACTACATAGCAAAGACCAGGGTGTTGTAATCTCTGGAAATGAGAAGCAGAGACCTTACCACTTTGGGCCGGGTGAGCACAATTATTTGAGGTTAGGAGCCAAGTTCAAACACAGGCCATGTTTCTCCCTTCCTGATAAATCTACATGACTGTTATGGTTTATGTCTAGTTGTCCCCCCAAAGCCTTATGAACTCATGGGGTGGACTTCTACAGTTTGTGATTAACTCATGATCCACTGGGATTATAGGAGTGAGTGCTGCTGGGATTATGGATGTGAGTGCTGCTGGGATTAGGGGTGTGAGTGTCACACCGGCCTGGGGCGATAGCCTGAGAGCCGCCATTGTTGCCCTACTCCTCCCATTTGCTCTTGCTCTTTTCTCCCACCATGAAAGGTTGCCCTTTGCCATGTGCCACTCTGCCTTGGAGCCAGCAGACTGTGAGCTAAATAAAACTTTCCTTCCTTAATTTTGAGTGTGGGGTATTTGTCCCAGCAACAAGAGAAGAGTAACCGAGACAATGACCCATCTCTCATGATGGCAAAGGCATCCGCTTCGTTGTAGATCCTTGTTCTCTGCATATAGAAAATAGCTCCATGTGTGGACATGGTTGTCCATAGAGGCGCTGTTATGTGTTTTATAATTTTACCCAATGCTGTATTTACCAAGAATGCTTCTAGCATTTAGGAGCTATTCTGGTCAAAAATTAATACATCAGACTGTGTTGCTTTTCTATTTTAAGAATGTTTTCCCTATGAGATGATGAAGAACACAATTACATCAAAAATATGAACAGGGAGACAAGGAATTCCTAATTAACTGCTCTGAATGGGGCTCAGCCCACCCTAGGAGATACAGCTGGAGCATAAAGACATTTTCCCTCAGCCTTAACTGCTGGGGGTTTGTTGAGCTAGAATTTGAATTCTGTTGTGACTTTCAGCGCCTGTCCCAAAGTCAAAAAGTCTGATAACAAGTCAGATTCCTTTTCTTTGCATAAATATGATTTTTAACAAAAAGACTCAGTTAAAGAAGATGTGTGCAAATAATTGTGTTGGTAAACTCATATCTCTTATTGGAGGCTTGGAGCCTTTGCTTTGTCCTAGTTGTCTTTCGATTTAGCTCTTCTAAGTGCAGCCAGAGAAGAGACAGTTCAATCC